ATGTATCCATGCATCGCTCTGCAAGTTCAATACGTCATTAAGATTTCATATAGGCGCTTGCCGAAAACGTAGCTGCATCCTGTGAAACTTTTTCCGAATTTTTCGTGTTCGCACACAAATATTTCATTAAGTACTGCAGGTATTAGGTTGTTAAGTTTCTGTTGTCATGGTACAGTCTGACAGGGACCTGCAAAGGTACGCAGAACTGCACTATAAAAACACTCCGTGGTTTTAGTCTTGTTTTTTCTTTTTAGTTCTCTCAGTGGGGGGGGAGTCCAACTGGGTCCACTCGGCACGACGGCCACTGATTGGCCTATTGTAGCCTGCCCCGGATGATTATGATGGTGGAGAATTTGGTGGAATGAAGATTGGCAGGGGAAACCGAAGTACTCTCCGAGTACTTCGGTTTCTCCGCCACAAATCCCACTTGATCATACCCAGGATCGAACCCCGGCCGCCTCGGTGGGAAGCTAGCGACAAACCGCTTGAGCTATGGCGCGGCCACTTAGTCTTGTTTAGTCTAGTTCTTGTTATGGGCCGGACGGCCAATGAGTCCAGGTTCGATTCCCGGCACGGGTAGGAGACTTTTCTCTTCTTCATAGCGCCCAGACCGGCTCTGGGGCCTATCCAACCTCCTGTATTTTGGGTGTCATGGTGTGTTTCCCTGGGGGCAAAGCAGCAGGGGCGTGAAGCTCACGACCCACTTCCATCTAGTGCCGAGTTTAATACCTCCTCTTCGTCGGTCACAAGCATGAACTGTCTTCGCCGGTTCGAAAGCTGGGATCGTGGCTTCGAATCTCACTCAAGGCATGGATGTATTGTATGTGCGTTTATTCAGAGATTGTGTTGTTCTGTGTGTTGGAGCGGCCTTGCGACGGGGCTGATCCCTAGTCCAAGGAGTCCTGCCATCTGTGTAAAGAAAAATTACGAAACTTAAGAAGAGGCCAGGGCCCGACAAAGGGCTGTAGAGCCACACATGAGTGAATGAATGAATGAATGAATGAACACCTCTTCACCGTACGTCTTCCCCGCGTGGTGCTTAATTAATGAATCCCAGCGATAGCTTTACCTTAACTTTTACGTGTTTCTCACTCTATATGTCTTTAACTTGCAATTCCTTCCGACGACGCTTGCCCGCAGGACGGCCTCTGCCTACAACACACGTGCTGCAAGTAGTGTCAACGTCTGCACAGGTTTCCTGCCCCCAGCACCTGCCTCTGCAGGATGGGAAGTGGCACTCAACTCTACTTCCGTTCAGTGAGCGGCAGCTGAACATAGCGAAATGCACTTTCCCGGTTTCCATGTCGACCTTAAGGTCATGAGATAGACGCTTTAGAAAATGATCTTTTATTGCCATTGGAAGGTTACATAGGCTTTGTTGAGGCGTAGCTACTGTAAGGACATCCAAACAAAGGTCCTTCCTTGTTCAAATACACGAACGTTTATCACACCAGTGGACTCGAGGACAACAGCGTTTGGTCGTACGTCATTCCTCCAGCTTCATTTATTAACCTGGAGGCTCACTATCCTCACGGATACTTTTTTTAAGATTTTCCTCAAATGCTGATATAGTAATTCATAATATGTTATAACCAGGACCCGGATTTTGATGACCTGAAAATATTTTTAAAAAATGGCCTCTAAAATGACCGAAAAAATCCAGAAAAATTACCTAAAATAGGACCCAAAAATGTAATATGCAGTGCTCGGATTTTGATGACCTGAAAATATTTAAAAAACGACCTAAAGGAGAAAATAAAGAACACTTCGCTTCCATATTATTCACATTTCAGAAAACATATGAAGAAAAAATTCCTAAAATGACCAAAAATTACAAGAAATGCCCTTAAAAGTCCAAAAAATTACCCCAAAAATGAAAAAATGACCTTAAATCTAAGAATGTCAAAAAATGACAAAAATTTACCTATAAAATTTACATTTCTATAACCAGCAGCTCATATCCGAGATTTATATATTTAAGAGCATCGCATAGGATACAAGGAAAAAAAGATGACATGTCATCAAAATCCGGGCCCTGGTTATAACACTTCCGCCGACCGCAGTGGCCGCGCGTTCTAAGGCATGAACTGTCTTCGCCCGCTCAAACACGGGGGTTGTGGATTCGAATCCCACTTGAGGCATGGATGTCTATGTACGTTTTTTCTGTGTGTTGTCCTGTGTGTGCAGGTAGCAGCCTTGCGACGGACTGATCCCCCGTCCAAGGAGTCTTGCCGGCTGTAGAAGAGACCAAGTAAGTGAAAAGAGGCCAAGGTCCAACAAAAGGGCTGTAGAGCAGTAGATGGATGGACGGACGGACGGACGGATGAATGACAATTCCATTCGCATTGCTCCCTATTTATCACTCACTCTTACTCTTTCATGCAGTATTTTGGTTGGCCTTTTTCTCATTAAGTGACCCTTCCTGAACTGCAGTTGAAAAAATGTTGTTTAATAAGCGAAAATCCAACCGGAACATCTAACTTACGCATATTAGCTTGAGGGATGGATGGGCAAGGGGCTGTTGTATGATAATTTATGAATATTATTTCACGCTGAGTAATATATAGTTGCCAAACTACAAGTAAGCAAATCGGGACTCATAAGAATTCAGTTGTCTGAGCCATCCTCATTTAACTATGTTTTCAAGATCCCTATATCACTCAAGGCCACTTCATGTCTTGGTTATGAAATATTATGTATTTATTAGCTAACGTCAAAGATGTACTTGACAATATTGTGGGAACATTTCCGAAGAGCAATGTCGCAAGTTCGTCGTATCGTAGAGAACGTAAAAGTCAAAAAATGACGTCAGAACTTTTGCTTCGTTACTGATTACTATTTAACTGCCCGTAAACCCCAAATTTAGAACTCAATGGACTGTAATGGTATTCTTTATAGATAAACGTGTCTGTATCTGAGGTTCAAGATTAGGGACAAAGGGAGTTGTGATGTTTATTTAGAACAGCTGATTTCAACGCGAAGGACGAAGGACAGAAGTGACTGAAGTTTCTATAAGACATCCGATCACGAACAAAAATTACGAGAGGTCTGTGATGTTTCTGTAAACGTTCGTGATTTCATTGAGTGATTCCTTCGAGAGTTTAATCATTCGGCACTCGTAAGAGAGTTCAGTGTTCAGCTGCGGAATGTTAACCTGCGGTCAGCGGAAGCTGAAGAAGTGACCGACTCGTAAATCAGAACCAAGTCAGTCACGCAGAAGAGAAGACGCTCTTAGTCCACTAAGGAATGCAGCGAGTCTTAGTCATTAATTGCGAGCTGTTGTAACTGATTGTAATTGTAATAGAAGTGCCAATAAATTCAATCATCCAATCCAGAACCCGCTATTATTCGTCACGGAACCCCGATCACGTGACAATATCTTGAGTGAAGTAAAGCAAGCAACTTCTCCTGCACACGACTCGCTGGTTATGTCAGCTCCCCAATGGCTGAAGCAGCAACGAGTTCTCTCTTCCAATTTCAGTATAATTGAACAGTGTCCATAACAAAAGGTAGTGAGGTGATCGAGTACCTTACTCAAGATCACATAGTTTTACACAAAGTGTGGATTTGTGTGTGATGTTCGTTTATATAGAAACGAATTACATGTCTCTATCTATTTATGTAGGAAAGATAGATGGGCGGATAGAAGTGACAAGAAGACGTAAGAAGATGCTGGATGACCTTGGGGACAGAAGAGGATACTGTCATTTGAAGGAGAAAGCTCTAGATCGCATCCAGTGGAGGAATTGTTTTGGAAGAGACTGTGGACCTGTCGTCTTGACAGATTACTGATGATGATGATGATCTATTTATGTGTCTCTCTATCATGACCTGACATGGAATCGAACCCGGGCCACCACTTTGTGAAGTCGGCGACTGACCTCTTGAGGCATAGTGCAGCCGAAAGTTCGATAAGTAAAGAATGCTGTGGGTGCCGGAGGCTACTTCGCTAGGATTAAAGCGACCGGAACGTGAAACTGACTACTGAACTCTATCTAATATCAAAGTCTAAAAAAGACACAGTTTTACTTTCACGCCTTCTGTCTGCTTGGGGTCATGTGTTGACGAGGCAAATTTTATGTAGAACCTGTGGAACCGGGATAGCTCAGTCGGTGTAGTGACGAGCTATGGGCTCGAAGAGCAGGGTTCCATTACCGGCAGGGCAAGAGATTTTTCTCTACACCACAGCGTCCAGACCGGCTATGGGGTCCACCCAGCCACCTATGCAATGGGTACGGGATGCTCTTTCCCCGAGGGTAAAGTGGCCGGGGCGCGAAACTAACCTCTCACCTCCGTCTGTTGCTGTGGTCAAGAATGTTGGAGCTATACCTCAACTCCCTCATACGTCTTCATGGCGTGGCGCTTAAGAATTAATCATCACGCCATGTGATTAATGAATTACTGATCAATCAGATATTGATTAAGCACGGGGTCACATGTTCCTTTACTTTTAATGTACACCATATCAGAAAGGATTTCAAGCAAGATTTGTAGAATCGAAGGGTTACGGTCTTCTGGAAGGTGACTCCGTGTAATGTGGTAGAAGCATTTATACTGCTTGTTTCTTGCTGCTTATTTCTTATTTGCACTGCTAGCGTCTTGCTAGTTGTTTGCTTGCCTTAGCCCTGAAGATGGAGGAAGTAGGCTTTTCCGTAACGTCCGTAAAATCTTTCAGACTACACGAGGGTCACTTCGAGAAGATAGTACTCTTACAGCCATGAGAATCTCAGAAGAGTTACGTGTCTTGAAGATGTAGAGCATGTTGTCAACATATTTTTTGCATTGCAGGCGTTGTTAGAGTTTGAAAAATAAGGTCAACAATTTTAACTTTTCTTTCCTTAAGATAGAGGCAGCAGGTTCCTTCGAAATATTGGTACCTGTCCGTGATGCAACACAGTGTCACATTCAATAAGACCATAATGAAAATATTCACCGCCGAGAGAACTTGCAGTCTCATAAAATGGTTGATGGTAACTAATTTCGTCTTTTCTTTCTTCCAGAATCGGAGATCGCGGGCCTGTCACATGTCGGTAAGTAACCTTTCACTGCAACAATGCATGAAGTCCGTCCTAATAGGGTCCTTGCGCAGTGACGTGCCGCTGTGTGAGTTGGGCTCTAGTCTGCCTTCGGTAAAAGGACTGACCACGGGCTGGATGGACGAGCGGCCGCTGTTCGAGTCCCGGTAGGGAAAATATTTTTCTCCTTTCCACATCGTGTAGACGTACCATGGGACCCCCAACCAGTCTCCTATCCAATGGGTACGATGGACTCTTTCCCCGGGGTTAAGCCGCCGCATCGTGAAGCTGACCACTCACCTCCAACTAGTATTGTGCTCAAGAATATTTGGATCCATATACCCACTCCTCCATGCGCATTAATGGCGTGGTGTTTAATCGGTTAAGCATAGGGACAACTCCACCATTACATGTTCACTGTTCAGTAATTCGGTTGTTTTGATTTAATGACAGTCCGGTATTTTCAGGCTCGTCTGATTGCAGCGCCTTTAAATAATAAGATAATAAGAGAAAAATGCGTTCAAGAATTGAAAATCTATAAGGAATGTGACAGAAATTTTACCCTGTGCGTCAGAATGTTTATACTGTGCAACAATATTACCACGCTGTTCGGCATAATTGTTACCTTATGCTACAAATTGTCGCTGTGTGCGACAGAATTGCTACCTTATGCTACAAATTGTCGCTGTGTGCGACAGAATTGTTACCTTATGCTACAAATTGTCGCTGTGTGCGACAGAATTGCTACCTTATGCTACAAATTGCCGCTGTGTACTACAGAATTGCCGCTGTGTGCGACAGAATTGCTACCTTATGCTACAAATGGTCGCTGTGTGCGACAGAATTGCTACCTTAGGCTACAAATTGCCGCTGTATGCGACAAAATTGTCACGCTGTGCGATAGATTGTTATGTCACGCTGGGCAATAAAATTGTTGCGCCATCCAAACATGTCCTGTGTCTATGACTTTTAGCGCTGGTGTCATAGAACAGCAGTAAACAGCACAGAAATAAGTTAAGAGTCTCTCTGTCTCTGTGACCTTATATATTTCGTATATTCTTTCTTTCACTCCTTTTCCTTTCTCATTGCCTTTCCATTTTTCTTTCATAATTTCTTTCCTTCCTTCCTTTCCTTCTTCCTCTGGAAGCCCCGCTCAACACTTGCAAGGACAGTGGAACAATGTTTGGTTCGTTTTATGGTATTTACACTTACCTACCTCCTGGATGTCTGAATGTGCTGGTTTACTTCACTGAAATAATTAGCATATTATGTAGACCGGTCGCATTACAAAACCAAACAAAACAAAACAATTCTTATCTTTAGATTCTTTTTTACTCGCTTTCGAGAACAAGCTGCATAGAATGTTGAAGGTTCTCCAACGAGTCGCCACCCCTGACGATGGAAAATGTAATGTTTGCTGAAACGTTGGGAAACCTCGAACATTCTATACGGCGCATTCCCGAAAGCCGAAATCATGACATAAAAAAGTACTGTACAAATTTTTTTTTAACTTTAATAAATACATACATAAATAATAACACCTTATGTCCAAGCACTATACGATGGAGTATAGGAGGCACTGATGTGAAGCTCCACGCATTCTAGATTTAATTTCTTATTTTAGTTAGACGCTTGAACTCTTTTCCTTTACTACTGTAAGTATTGAACTATGGTAAAGTGAGAGATTTGAGGTTATGTTTATCTTTACTGCCCTCTGAGATGTGAACCTGCAGCCTCCATGTTCAAGGGAGACCATCCTTGAATTGGAGGTACCAGCATCTTCCGAAAATATTATAGTCTTCCGGGGTGTGACGCCGTGTAGTCAGGTGGAACGTTACCAACATTGTCGCGAAACCTGCTGCCTCTAGCTTCATGGAAGACTGTCCTGAAGACGGATGCAGCAAGTTTCTCCGAAATGTTGATAACATTCTACGGGACCGTATGGCTGCACATCCCGGAAGACAGTCATATTTATTTCGAAGAAGGCATCGAATACAGTGGAACCCACTTTAATCCCAACTCCCAGTAATAAGATACTGACTTACAGGGCCACGATTGGCCGCGCCATAGCTCAAGCGGTTAGTCGCTGCTTCCCATCGCGGCGGCCAGGGTTGGGGTCCGGTCAAGTGGGATTTGTGGTGGACAAAGTGGCGCTGGGGCAGGTTTTCTTCGAGTGCTACGGTTTCCCCTGCCAATCTTCATTCCACCAATTGCTCCACAATCACCCTCACCTATCATTTGGGGCTGGTATAATAGGCCAGAAGTGGCCGCAGGACAAGGGACTTAGTCCCACCCCACTAGTAATTAAAAAATGGTTATTTTACTTCCTTGCAGGAAAATGTAATTCTAGTGAAACTCGATGTTATCTGCCTGTCTGGGTGGTGGGAGATAGAAGCGGGTTACAGCGTGCCCCTAACATGACGTATGGTCGAATGTCCTTGGGTTCTGCTCATTCTTTTTGCATAAGCAGCTATAAACCTTCGAAATAAATAATTTTACTATAAAAATATATTTTTATTTGAAATGCAGTAATCCGAACTACTCAATACACCTAACACACCAGAACTTTTAATTACACTGAATTTGTTTTTATACTGAGGGTCTGTGTTTTGCGTAATGTTTCCGTTTTTGTACGACGAACCGGTTTTACATGATGAAGTATTCTCACACTAGCAGCCATGTCAGTATGGAGGGTATTTCCGTTAGAGATTTTCCTTTCCCCATCATCAGGATATGGCCATATACTCGTAAATTCCTGATGCTGGAGGCATCTCTGAAAAGTTAGAGATTTATTCCATAATGACAGGCTGATCACCTGTTGCATTCAGTCGCGGTAAAATGTTCAAATCTCATATAGTCTTCACGTAAATTTAATAGTAAAGCTATCCCAATACTTAGTTAAACAATACGCTATGAAAAGTATGGGGGGGGAGTGAAAGTAGAACTCCATATATTGTTCTTTGTCACTAGACTGAGGTGTTCCTAAGCAGCGCCGCGTGAAGGCATAGGTAAATTTCCAGGGATTATATATCCGCACATTAAGCCCATGTTCTCTGAGAACTAGGGTATTCTTTTTTATTGCTAGTGGGGTGGAACTAAGTCCCTTGCACTGCGGCCACTTCTGGCCTATTGTACCAGCCCAGATGATAGGTGAGGGTGATTGTGGAGCAATTGCTGGAATGAAGATTGGCAGGGGAAACCGAAGTACTCGGAGAAAACCTGCCCCAGCGCCACTTTGTCCACCACGCATCCAACTTGACAAGACCCGGGATCGAACCCGGGCCGCCGCGGTGGGAAGCCAGCGACTAACCGCTTGAGCTATGGTGCTGCATGTTAATAGCAGAAACTAGAATATAAAGAAAAAATTTACTCTTAATTTTCTGAATATAATTTTGTTCTGTTACTGTCGCTACCAGTGAGCCGGGATAGCTCAGTCGGTATAGCGACTGGCTACAGGCTGGACGACGAGTAGTCAGAGTTCGAGTCCCGGTAGTGGTAAGAAATTTCTCTTCTCTGTGTTGTCCAGACCGGTTCTGGGGCCCACACAGCCTCCTATCCAGTGACTACCGGAGGTTATGCGACCGGGGTGTGAAGCTGACCACTCACCTCCAACTAGTGATATGATCAAGAAAACGTGGATCTATACACCCACTCCCCTATATGCTTTGATGGCGTAGTGCTTGATTAATTAAGAGATATTTGAAATTTGTCATATTTTTTAAACACTAGATGAAGTGAAATTAGTTTAAACCGCATATGTTTTCCTCTTAAGCCCTTCAGTAAAACTCTTCAATTCGTTCTGTAACTCGAGAAGGAAAACGTTTTACCTTGGAAACAAATTCTAGAGAATTCTCTGTAATCTTCAAAGGCAATAGAAGTTTAACAGCGCATGTGACATTACGTAATGCTGTGTACTGACTGTGACTTTTTACCTTGACAAAAACAATGAGAACTTTCTACTCAGAGCGGTAGAGCCTGTTACAGGAATTTCGCAGTGTACAAGAACTCTCGAAGCTGAAAGAAATGGATTTGTACTGCGCTGAGACTTCTGTACCCGAAATGTTTTCGGACGGAACCCGGATCATCTCTCGGTTTTTGTGTTGACTTTCTATAATGCACTGGCGGCTGTTTTTCCCACCGGTCACAGCCTTATGTAATGTGGCATTTGTAACTATAGTTTCACTCGTATTTTTATATGGATTATTTTGTTTTCTCTGTTCCAAAAGCAAAAACAGAAATTGAGATGTTTGAGATCAGGCTACTGAGAAGAATATTTGGTGAGGGAATAAGTAATAGGAGGCTGGAGAAAACTACATAATGAGGAGCTTCATTCTTTGCACTGTTAATCGGAGGTTGTTAGAGAGGAGTATGAAATTGATGAGGCATGTAATATGCAAGGTATGTATAAGAAATGCGTACAAAATTTAGATCAGGAAACCTGAAAGGAATTATTAAAGTTATTATCTCTGTGTTACCTATATATGTGGTTGTAACACAGGGTGGTTGTGGGCGATATATCTGACGTTTCGGCGGCACAAAATATGAAGCTCCTCATTATGCAGTTTTCTCCAACCACCCGTCACTTTTTTCTCTTCGGTCCAAATATTCTCAACACCCTCTTTTCAAACACCCTCAGTCCATGTTCGTCCCTTAATGTCAGAGATAAATTTTCACAACCATACAGAACCACAGACAAAATTATAATTTTGTGTGTTCTAATTTTATGTTTTTAGACGGCAGACGAGAAGACAAAAGGTTCTGGACTGAATTGTAAGCATTACCCGAGTTCATTCTGCGCTTATTTTCCTCAGAAACCAAATTTTGTTTCGTTACAGTCGCTCCCAAATACTTAAATTTTGCATATTCACAAAGGAAGAATTAACTGGCTTTATGTTATGACTCTGCCCTCCATTCTGGTGACGAGACATCAAAGTACGCTTTTCTATGTTACTTCCGGACAACCTCACAAAGTTAATGAGATTAATTGATAAAGGCATGTCTCCTCAGAGCTCGGA